GGAATCGTACCCACCAAGTGAAATCAAAGGTCGGAAGCGATGAGGTTCGAAGATATATTTAATAATAGAAAAACCATACTATAATACCCAATTTGCAAGATGTTCAATAATTGTCTCGGACTTCATTGTTCTTGCATTTTTATACTATGTGCTTTCTATTCCCGTTCTTTTTCTCTCGATCTTCCCAATCTTCTGGTGCCAGCCATTACATTCCTGACTCGCGTTGTATACTGCTTAAGTCAATATAAGTAGCACGCACCACAAGTATCGAAGATTTACAGAGCAATTGATTTTGGGGATTTATTCGCCGTTACATTACGTAAAAATGATTATTACATCATGGACACAGTTTCCCAACCATCGTTGTTGTTGCTACCTTGACGTGGTGGTCGGGCTTGCCTATCGTGATGAAGCAACCGAGCTATACTGGCTGGAACAATCGTTCCTCAAGGTCCTACCATGCCAGACAGGTCGGTTGAAGAGCGGTAATACTAGAAGTAGCAAACCCAAAGTCTGAGGGCGATGTCGTACTGCTGACTGTACGGAGGTGTGACAGCAGTAAGGTTTTTTCTTCAGACAACCAGCATGACGGCGATGCTGCCTTGCCACAAGGAGGGGTGGAGTTAGGAAAGGTTGACCCTAAAAATGCACACCTCGCCTTATCTCACGGATATCCGTCTCCGGCGGTAAGGTCTCAACAAGTACAGAGCTAACAAGAAAATAACCCATGAAAAGGTCGTGTGTGACCAACTTCAAGAAGTTATCCCTTGGTCACTGCGATCACGCTCTCAGGTCACTATGACCACCTCTAATGCAATTTGCTTTTCAGGTACCTCCAGAAGAACCCTTCCACGGTGTGGACAACCGGGAATCGATACCCGCCCTCATACTTCCAACAGCACTCAAGACCTTTGTGTTTATAATCAACCTTCAACTCTAGACTTCATCTTTTGGCCTCCTCCTCAGGTGTCAGCATAGCCAACGATTCTAGTGCTCAAAACACTCCCAGGCCAACTGAACTCTCACTCCAAACTTCACATTGGAGCCTTCAACGTACGCACCCTATGTCAAATTGGTCATCAGGCCTCCTTATCTGAGACTCTAGAATTTTGTACCATTGATGTAGGCTGTGTCTCTGAAACACGCATACAGGATCCTAGTGCGGTCATTCACTTGACCTCATATCGGTAAAACGGAGAGACAACGAGATACACCTTACGTGTATCTGGCGACCCGATGCCTAGTTCTCGTGAACTGACAGGTGTAGGTATAGCACTAAGCATGAGGGCGGAACAAGCATTATTGGAGTGGATCCCCGTTAACAGTCGTCTATGTGCTGTTCGGCTAAACGGTTCCGTAAGAACTCGGGAGCATAGAGACACGCGTCGTTGCATTTTCGTCACTTCTGTCTACGCTCCCACTGACTGCAGTCCGAATGGAGTGAAATATGACTTTTACAGAAAGCACTCTGGACTTCGTCAGAAAGCTAAACGTTCAGACATAGTACTCGTAGCAGGTGACTTTAATGCCCAAGTAGGTAGTTTAAACAAAACAGAACGACATTTAGGTGGATGTTTTGGTATTCCGGCACAACGAACAGATAATGATGATCGTCTGCTGCAACTGTGCTCAGACAACCGCTTATTTTTAGCAAACACAAATTTTAAGCATAAGGAGAGACATAGTCTAACATGGCGACCCTCTGTACCAGACGAACTATGGACTCAAATACACCATATTGCCATCAGTCATCGTTGGAGAGGGTCGATAGAAGATTGTCGCTCATTCTGGAGTACCTGCTTGAACTCCGACCATGCTCTAATACAGGCACGCATTTCCCTGCGCCTCACTGGACTCAGAAAAGCCATACTAAAAAGACCCATTAGAACTGAATTGAGTAACGAGAAAACCAAAAGTCTGTTCCAGGAACAACTGAGGTCACACTTAGTTAGTTCTGAAAACGAGGCTGACCTCGGTGTTTCTTGGAAAGATATACAATCAGTTGTGAAAACGGCAGTGACATCTGTTAGCGATTTAAACCAAAGAGTTACAAAAAACCAATGGATTTCTTCTCAGTCTATTGCACTGATGAATTCTCGTAAACTCGTCCCATCAGGCTCTGAACACGATGATGAGCGAAAACAAATCAGATCTAGGTTAAGCAAAGGTATAAGGAACGACCATGAGCGGTGGTGGGCAACGGAAATAAAAGAGATAGAAAAGGTGGTGGCTATAGGGAACACAAGACAGCTCTACAGATTAATAAAAGAAACTGGAATTAATAAGTCAAGTTTAATTGAGACTATCTCGGAAAAAGACGACGCTCTCATATGCTCCCAGTCCAGACGTTTAAAACGATGGGCGGAACATTTTAGAGAACAGTTCAGCTGGCCTTCAGTTACTCTACAACTACCCACCATGGAACATTAAAGTAGGTCCCTTAATTGTAGCTGAAGTTCAAAAGGCTATAGTTAATCTGGAACAAGGAAGAACAGCTGGTCCAGATGGATTGGCTTCAGAGGTCTTTAAGGATGGTGGTCCGATTCTAGCGATTAGTTTGACTAATATTTTAGCTAAAATCTGGGAGTTAGACGTAATCCCATCTGACTGGTCACAATCACTGATCGTCCCAATATATAAGAGAGGGTCAAAATCATCCTGACTAACATAGCATCTAAAATACTAGCATCAATAATTGTCGGTCGACTAACTAAGACTCGTGAACTGCAAACACACGAAAACCAGGCTGGCTTCAGACCTGGTCGTGGCTGCATCAACCACATATTCACCATTCGTCAGGTTCTAGAACACAGGCATGCTTACCGGTGTCCGCCAATGGTGGTCTTTGTTGACTTAAAAACAGCATTTGACTCCATAGACCGCGAGATTCTGTGGCAGTGTCTGTCATTGAAAGGCGTACCTCAGAAATGCATAAACCTTGTGCAGGCTCTTTACTTGAACACTACTAGTCGAGTCAGAGCTTATGGCGAACTGTTATCTGCTTTTGCAACCGCAAATGGTGTCCGCAAAGGCTGTCCACTTTCTCCATTTTTGTTTAACTTGATCATAGACCTACTGATGGAAATAACGCTGTCGTTGACTGAGTTTTCGGGCATTGATCTCCTACCAGGAGGTCCACTTAACGACTTAGAATACGCAGATGATATAGTCCTGATTGGTGAAGACGCTGACAAATTGCAGAGTCTTTTGGTAGCACTAAGTAACAATGCTAGAATGTTTGGGATACGCTTTTCCCCCTCTAAATGCAAGTTGTTGTTTCAGGACTGGTCTACGTCAAAACCTGAATTAAGGATAGGGGTGAATTAGTCGAACGCGTCGACAACTTCACTTACCTTAGAAGCCTGATCAGCAGTAATGGTTTGGTATCTGACGAAGTCTCAGCACGGATTCAAAAGCTCGTTTGGCTTTTGCCACTTTTCGTCACCTATGGCGAAGGCGAGATATCCGTCTATCAATAAAAGGACGAGTATACTGAGCGGCAGTCCGTTCTGTCCTACTTTACAGCTGCGAAACGAGGCCATTAAGAGTAGAAGATACTCGTAAGCTACTAGTATTTGACCACAGATGCCTTAGAAATATTGCTGGCGTCTGCTGGGTTCACCGGGTAAGTAATAGTAAGATTAGACGCAGGGTATTAGGGAATGATGGTAAATCGGTTGGTGAGGTTGTTAATCTTCATCGACTGAGATGAATGGGCCACGTTTTACGTATGCCTGAACACCGATTACCACGACGTGCAATGCTAACCGGTGCTGGAGATGGTTGCAAGGAAGTTGTGGGCGGCCAAACCAAAACGTGGCATCAGTGCTTGAAGTCTCTGACTTCTGGTCTGAGCCATGTTGGTAGATGCAGACTACTTGGTCGTGGTCCGCGTGACTATCGTAACCAATGGTTGGAAGCTCTTGGTGACATGGCTCAGAATCGATCACAATGGCGTAGGTGTATACCCTCTTTGTCTTCCCTTAAACTATCAGATTAAAATCACTTTATATCTCTCTTTCTACGAACTAATTCTTTCTTCCTGTACTATGCCCTTATATGCAATCTGTCTTCTATATATTACCACCTCTGAATTAACTAATTCTATGAATTCGGTTTTCATCTTGTTCTGTTAATGAGAGATGGCGACTTGGACCGATGCATATATGTGCCTGGTCCTACGTTGTAGCTGACTGACTGACTGGATACAGCTTTTAAGGTCAATAAACTAATCAGTGAAAAATTATTTATTTCCTGTTATGTTTAACGAGATTGACTACACATAGAAACTGAGGTTGTTTAAATTTAAGGAGATCTACTAAAAAGTGGAGTTGTTTCTGGAAAGCATTAAAGGTATTTTTTTTATTAGTTTAACATCAAGAAGACTGCATACTTCAGGAACTAATGATGCTACTCGATTATCTGAACTGAATCATTCTAAACTCCATAGATCATATTGTATGGTAAAGATGTATAAAGTGAGAGGGAAATGCAACAAATGTTAGAAAGTGTAAATAGGTTGCAACTGATGGGCTTCTTTTGAAGCATCAGCGTATAAATCACACTTGTCGGGATAGGTGATTGGGGAGTTTTGACAATCTCGTTTCAGACATCTAGTATATTATTTGCTTACATATATCTCGCGTACTACAAAGAGTGATTTTTTGAAGGGTTATTCTAGAAAAAGAGTGGTTCTTTATCAGTTACAAGACACTAGGTACTCACATCTAAGTATTTAGATAAATTTCAGGAGGGGTTTTTGTGGATATTATAGTAATTTCAATAGTTGATAACATGAGTCCATTGAAGCTAGACCACTATAGAAACCAGGGTTGCCATTTCGTTATATTATGGGAGAAAGCTCTGTGTTATTGGACGATTTAAATCACTATTACTTGAAACACAGGCATCCTTAATAACCTCTAGTATGTATCATCATCAGTAATAGATATTCGACTAAAATGTATTGGAAATAACTATCTATGTCCATATTTATTTAGGAACAATGCATTACCCATAGTTATGGGTGCCTCGATTGAGGAGTATCAGAAGGTTTCACCACCTCATTCTTTCATTCATGTGGATCAATTTGAGAATCCGAAAGAACTGGCCAAATATCTGAAGTACCTTGATAAAAATGACACTGCATACAACGAATATTTCGCTTGGCATAAAAGGGGTGTTGTAACTGTATGGTCGTTCAAGCCGGAGTGTGAATTTTGCATACTTGCAAATGCTCTTCCTTACTTCGAGCCAACTATACATGAAAACTTTATGTTTTGGTGGAAGGATGGATGTAAAAACAGAACATTAAGATGGTAAGATGGTTTCTAATATCTCATTAAACAGAAGTTTTGTTAAAGTAGTTTCTACGGTTAACAGTAAATTTAACCCATGTTTATCAGAATGACAATAAGAAAGTGAGGTAGTCAACATGAAAATTAAACGTGATTTCTTTTCAACTAGGTAAAGAAAAACCTAAGAATCACTCACTCATTTCCTAACATTTCCAAACAACATGAATAAGTACTGTCTGGAAATGATCATAGGTTATTTGTAGTGATGTTAAATTTCAAATCCTGATTTGAGACAAAAATACTTTATTACAAAAGTTTAAAAATCCCCATAGAATATTCAAAAATGAAGAATATTTGAGCGAACAATTGTTTTCAATAACTTCATCATCAGGCTCTACAGTTATAATATTTTACAAGGGCTAAAAGTAAGACATGTTTTCATTATCCCAATGGCAATTTTTTTTAAAAACCCCCTCCACCCTTTTTAAAAAATTTTTTTCAACCCCAAAATTACAATATTTTTCATCCCGTTTCGTCCAAAGAAATGGCTAGTTTTACAATTCGTTTTAATTGGTTAGTTATGTCTTGTCAAATTGTTATAAAATATCAGGAATAATATTATCCGACCGGCAATTTTTTTTAAAAAAAACCTCCACCCCAATAAAAAATTTTCCACCCCCAAATTACAATATTTTTCATCCCGTGTTTCGTCCAATGAAATGGCTAGTTTCAAAAGTTAGATTTAATTGGTTAGTTATGTCTTGAAAATTGTTATAAATTATCAGTACTTGTCGACAAAGCACATTTCAATCGTCATTATGGAGCAGAGTGGCGTGCCAAGTACAAGCGGTGGTGTTTCTCACGTAACGGAAATGGAGGAAGTCTTTTTGACTACCTTGTTTCTGGTTGCGTTTCCATCGGTCGAAGCGTTAAAGACCACTATCACCAATTTTGAAAGATCGACTTACAGTCATTATGTAGTGAGAGATTCGCATATTGGCAGAAATCAAAATCGTACATTAAATTTGTGTGTTGGCGAAATGGGCGTATAAGATCTAGCGGTTCGTCACAACGTATTAGACGGAGGAGGTAATTTAGTAAATGGTTTTATAATATTCTTAACGAAGGGCTTCTATGAACACCCAATGTCCGGCCTTCATGTTTTGTAAGATTATAGACGGCTACTGGACTGTTGTACATGGGAATGTGCATCACAATCACGAGTGCAATTCCCTGAGGTACCAAGGTAATTCATGGGTGCAAAGGTTAACGGATGGGGAGTTTGAAACTGTGAGACCGCTGCTGATATCTGGTACCGCTGCATTCCACATAAAGAATTTTGCTTACCAATCTTATAGGAAACGTCTGACTGATCAAGATGTCTGTAATATGCGGTACAAAGTGTTCTCACACGCGAACCTTCCTGGTAAGAAATTTGCCAATTTATAATGTACGCTATAGGTGATTACGGGAAATTGAAAGCTCACATAACATCCTTGGGTGGGCTTTGCGAATACGAATTGGACGATGAGAACTGTCTATCGTATTTCTTCTTCATGACTGCTGAGCAACCGAATTTGGCCGGTCACTTTTGTGACGTAATTGGTTTTGACGGGACGTACAAAACGAATAACGAGAACGTCCATTTATATCACGTCGTTGCCTGGATATGAATTTTAAGGCAATACCCATCTGCATTGCCTTTTTAAGTCGCGAAACGTCAACATTCATTTCTGTATTCCTGCGTTTTTTCCAACGGTGTACCAACAGTCGACAGCTGGGTGCTCTGCTTTCAGAAAGGGACAAATTTGAAAATAATTACTGATCACAATTTAAGCTTTTATGACTGTTTCACAGTTTCCAAGCTTCGATATTTAATCCTGTGTTAAAATATAGTTAAATCATAGACCTCAGTTCTTCATGATTACATTTTTAATCACTACATGTGTGTTGAAACGTACTAAAGCAAAACCTTTAAAAATTATATATGTGGGTGTATAAATAGAACAGTGAATAGTTGAGACGATGAAGGTAGGAAAGGCATTCAGACAACAGCAAAAAAATCCAAGACAAGATGATAGCTCATATGAGTAATGTCTGTTAAAAAAAAACTGGGCATTTTTCGGATAAGTTCATGTTCTAAATTCAGAGATCCGATTACAGTTGCCACTTCAAGGTGGACTTAAAAATATTGATCAAAATGGTCATGCATTGAAAATAATTATATTTCTTTATTTGTTGAGGTCATACAAGAAAGTGGTAGTAAAAATACTGAAAGGTGGGTGTTTACAATTGATAGAGTAAAATAATTTAAATAATATACAAACTTGGAGAACTGCCATGGTTGGATTATTGTGACAATAGTGAGAGTAATAATAATAATAATAATAATAATAATAATAATAGTGTGATAAGATGGTTCTGTATTTCTTGATGAGACGTTCAGTATTTATTATATAACAAAGAATCGATTTTCCCATGGATTTCGATTACACATTTCATCAAACGGGAGAGTTAGGCCCTCTGTTTGAGGCTTATCTGATTAGCCCTACAAGATCATATTGGAATGACATGCACTGATAAGACTATCATTGGTAACTTTGGGACATGTAGTGTTACACTTGATTCTTAATATGTTTAATTCAATGTATAACTCAGCACTAAAT